GTCCCAAATTAGAAGTATACAAACTTTCACCAACAGTGGCATAAACTATAGTACGTTGACAAATGGAACACTACACAATGATGAGAATAAAATATAACTACATGGATAATATGGATAATCTCACAAAATGAAGAGTAAAATATATTATATATATAAAGTAAGTACTGACAGATACCATTCACATGATGTTCAAAAACAGGCAGAACCATCCATGGTCAAGATAGGGTTTACCCTTGGAGGGCAAACAGTGATTGGAAAGGGGCATGTGGAAAGTTTCTGGGGTACTGGTAGTATTTGCATTTTGAATGCTGGTGACAGATGGTATCCAATTTGTGGAAATCCAGTAAGCTGTCACTTCTTGGTGTGTTTATTATACATTAATAAAAAGTTAAAAAATATATAAAAGTCATAACACAAAATTTTAAAGTGATAATTTTGTTTATTGCTCTAATTTGCATAATATATACTTAACAAATTTAATATTAACCTAAAATATTTTTCTAATCTGAAATAAAGCTGATATTCTTTTTTTAAATAGTGGTACCAATACCTTAGTCAAGAAGAGTACTGCTAGGACATACTATTTTTGAACACAAGCTGCAAAAAGGCAAATACTAAAGGTGCTTATTATGGTTTCCCTGTCATAGTACCTAACAAAGAATTAACTGAATTAACTGACTTTTCAATCAAAAATATTTTGTGCACTCTTATTTTATTTATTTATTTATTTATTTATTTATTTATTTATTTTCCTGAGATGGTTTCGCTCGTTACCAACGCTGGAGTGCAATGGCACGATCTCGGCTCACCGCAACCTCCGCCTCCCGGGTTCAGGCAATTCTCCTGCCTCAGCCTCCAGAGTAGCTGGGATTACAGGCACGCGCCAACATGCCCAGCTAATTTTTTGTATTTTTAGTAGAGACGGGGTTTCACCATGTTGACCAGGATGGTCTCGATCTCTTGACCTCGTGATCCACCCGCCTCAGCCTCCCAAAGTGCTGGGATTACAGGTGTGAGCCACCGCGCCCGGCTTGTGCACTCTTATAACCCAACTGTCATAAAGCACAAGAATACTAGAGTACGTATTATGAGAAAATTTCACTGTTGATCAATTAGAAGTATTTCTATTGAGGAACTTTTTACACTTGACAGTGGGCCACTTGCAGGTTAATCTCATTCTACTTCTCAGTGAATTCATACCTATGAGTAAGTAAACAGGATGTAGGGAGAGTTTCCTTGAGTAATAGATGCCACCTCATCAAAGTATGACCAAGGTAATTCTCCTATGGGTTAGCCCAACAAGCCTCATACCAAAAATCACTTTTCAACTAATACAGTCAAAAACTAATATACAAGGCTGGCCATGGTGGCTCATGCCTGTAAACTCAGCACTCTGAAAGGCCAAGATGGGTGGATTGCTTGAGCTCAGGAGTTTAGACCAGCCTGGGCAACATGGCAAAACCCCATATCTACCAAAAACACAAAAAAATTAGCTGGGTGTGGTGTGCATGCCTGTAGTCCCAGCTAATTGGGAGGCTAAGGTTAGCAAATCACTTGAGCAGAAAGGTGGAGGTTGCAGGCAGCTGAGATGATGCCACTGCACTCTAGCCTGGGCAAGAGAGGAGACTCTATCTCAAAAAAATAAAACACACACACACACACACACACACACACACACACACACACTCTCTCTCCCCCCTCCCCCGCCACAGTTAAAGATGAGAGAAATCCTACAGTAATTTGATTCTACTTGCAAATATTCTTTCAAGGTAGAGAAGGAAAATTCTTTTCATGTCGAGAAGAAGAATGGGATTTGGTAACATTTTTAACTACCATGGTGTGGGAAAGGACTATCTAAACTTATTTCTCTGTTAAAATCCTGGATATAATACAAATTTTGAAAAAAAATTAATAAAATAACCTATTTAGTTATCATGATACATTGTTATATGTAAATGTCCAAGTACAATTACATTATAAAGTTACGTTTTAGTATATAAGACGCTGGCCTATGTGGTAGCCCAATTATAAATGTTCAAAATGCAGTTAAACGACATTTCTAAAACAAAACAATGCAGAATAAATGAATGCTCAATTACCCGTGCTAGTAGTATATAAGAAGATATCCATAAATTATACTAGGGGTATATATTTAAAGTAATTATATGTAGTTCTAAAAATATGTCTTGGATAGTTTTTGGAGATAATTTACCTCAGTGGAGCATTCCTTAATGTTAAGAATCACTCATATTTTCTAAGACATGAATTCAGTGCCTGGGTGATCCTTCCTGTATTTAGCTAGCTAGGCTCCTGGCCTGGAGGTACGGGCAACACCAAGGTGAGTATGACCATCCCTGTCCTCAAGGAGCTTCAGTCTAGTAGGGGATGAGACATACTAGACTGTGAGCTCCTCGAGGGCAGGAAAAGTGTTATAGTCATCTTTGCCCCAGTAACTAGCACCAGGCTCAGCTACTGTAGGTGCTCAACAGTGTTTATCAAACTGACTTGAACATGGGTTGCAGCCATCTATGGCAGCATAGAGTAAGCCTGACAAGAAAAACAAAGAGCTTTGGAGACTCAGAGGGTGGAGGCTAGTCAGCTGTGAAGTCAAAAAGACCCAGTGCGTGAAAGAAGCCAAGAAGGATGGGTAGGATCTCCCCATGTGAAGGAGGAGGCATTCTGGGTCAAGAGCGGGGGTGAGTTTAGCTATGGTGTATGAAAGGGATGGGAAGACAATCTCAGGCCATAATGAAATAAGGCCTAAATGTTACTTTGGAAGCCTTTACCCAAACATAAAAGGTAATAGAAACCCCCTGAAAGTTGTTTTGACCAAGGGAGTTATTTTTCCAGTGACAGTTCAAGAAGACTGACTAAGCTGGTCATGCCAGACAGATGGGAGAAGAGCACAGGATGGGGGATGCAGGGCGGGCAGAAGGAGTAAAGCATGACTCCAAAATGGTATTGAAGATAAAGACGCTATTCCAACCTGGAGGAAGTGAGGAGGAAGGGCTGGCTTAGAGGAGAATGTAACAGCTTTGCTTTCTGGATAAACATGATGCCCAGACAGCAATTTAAAAATGTAGGTTTGGGACTTGAGCAAAGGGCAGGCCCAGAACTACAGACAGAGAGAGGTGAGAAGCAAAGCCCCATGAATGGGTCAGACATCCAGGAAGAGTACTGAGAGAAAATAAGATGCTGAGAACAGAAATTTGGTTAATACTCATAGTAATGCTGGAGAGATGGCAAGTCAGTGAGGTAAAAAGTGATGCCACGGAGGTGGGGTGATAGAACTGGTAGCGGAGAGGAACTATATCAAGGACAGGATCTGTCAAATTCTGAGGAAAGACCAAGAAGGAACAAATAGCAACAAAACATGTAATAAAGCATGTCCAAGAACCAGCTGTAACAGTGAGAAAATAGGCAGTTAAGTTATATGAGACTTCATTAAGGAACTGAAGATTTTTAGCTTGAAGAAACTAAGAGGAGGTAAGAAAGCTGTTTAGAAGTACCCTCAAGGTCTACCGTGTGAAAGGTAGAGTAGGGTTTTTCTATGGGGACCTGGATAGTGGAACTAGGCCAACGGGTGAGAGTTATAAGGACTAAGACCAAGAGTGTGGCTAGTCTTTCCGACATGGTGCTCGCTCTACTGTAATAACCAGTGATACCTCGGTCTTCACCACCAGGCTTTAAACTCTCTGGCGGCAGGGATTGGGTCTTGTTCACTGTTGAACCCACAGAATCTAGCTCAGAATAACAAAGGTGCTTAGCAAATATTTTCAGACTGGATGAACCTTTTGTGCTTCTACCTATGTGTGTTAATAATTCTTCTTTGAAATACTCTCCTTAAAAAGGAATCCTGTCTAGCAGGTTGAACTGCTTGAACATGTGGTGAGAAGGCTGGGTAGATTGTGAAAGCCTGGAACCTGCAGTTCATAATTTTTAGGTAGAAAACTAAAATACAGCATGAAAAACAAACCCATAAAAACTCACATAAAATCATGGAAATCCCTAAATGTGAAAACAGGTGACAAAGCACACACACAACTACGTTTTGTTTATATAATAAAGCTTCCCATGCCTATGTGGTGTATTATAATATGTTTATTACAGTATTAAATCTGATTCTACACTCCAATTCAATTCAATTCAACAAATGATTATTGAGCACATATTATATGGTGCCAGGTCCTAAGCTTGGCACTGGGGGTACAGAAATCAGTAAGACACAATGATGCCCATCAAGAGCTCTGAGTCTAGCTGGAGACGCAGAGGAGCCAACAAGAACCTCTCAGGCCAGGCAACAGGGTACAGTATGCACATGCTTTCCTGAGGGATTCAGCACACTAATGTCCCTGTGTACTTCCTCCAGGGATTTTAACAGTGCCTGGCACAAAGTAGGAGCCACAAAATGGCACCTGAACGAGCAATGGATGTTTTGAATATAAAACCGGAAATATTCAAAGGTGCCAAAGGAATAACTATCTCTTTGAGGGCAGGGTTGATTAGGAAGGTTTCCTGAAGCAGGTAACATCTGAGCTGGGTTCTGAAAACTGAATAGGAGTTTGTAGGTGGCAAAGGTCAGGAAAGGCATTTCTGTGAGTGAAGACAGCATGTGAAAAGGCACTGAGGTGTTAGGAGAATTTTAAGCAGGTGTTGCTGGATCACAGTGTCAGGGGATGGAGATGAAGGGTTGTGTTAGATAAGACTGGAGAGATAGGTAGGGACTAAGGTATTACAGGTCTTGTAAGTGATGCTAAGTCAGAAGCTAGGGGAGAGACATATGACTATAACTGTATCTTTATCAAAAATTTTAAATATGTAATTAAGACTCTAGCAAGGTACAAAGAAATGCAAATCAATTTTAAAAGTAATTGCATTTGAACAAAAATAGCTTGGCCTTAGACATATTGATATAATGACCTTAAAATGCTATTACTGCAAGGAGGAGAAGCAGCATAATCTGCCCCCACCCTCGGGCCCTCTCTTCCACCAACTCCTACCTGAGCTGAGCTTTAAGTTCAGTAAACCTGGGCCGCCTGCTGGGGTCATAGGCCCAGCATTTCGTCATAAGGCTGTAGAGGGTAGGAGGACAATTTGGAGGCATTGGTAGTCTTTCCCCATTTTCAATTCGACCGATTACATCATTGTTCTTCACTCCTTGAAAAGGCTTCACACCATGCATCAGTATCTCCCACATACATACACCTGTGAGTGGGAATGAAAACACAACAGTGAGCTCAGTATGAAGAGTGTAACTCCCAGGTTCCAGGAATATCATTATTCTAGGCACCAGAGTACCAGCTGGGAGATACTGGGCAAATTATCCACCAAAGCAGCATTATATTAACTCTAGTATAAAATAAGAATAACCTAACAATTTAATATGATGGAAATAATAAAATGTTGAATTATTATCAAGGAAAATGCTGTAATTTTTCTCAGAGGGTTATTTCTCTAGAAATCCTGTATGAGAAAATGGCCCACCAGCTACAGTGACACTTCACGGCTTAACAAACTAATTCAAAAAATACTGAATTTTAGATTCCACCCCACTTCGGTGTGACCTGTTTTTAATTAGAGCAGCTGAACTGATGCCTAATAAAGAAAATCTGCTGGTCGCGGCAGCTCATGCCTGTAATCCCAGCACTTTGGGAGGCTGAGGCAAGTGGATCAAGAGGTCAGGAGATTGAGGCCATCCTTGCTAACATGGTGAAACCCCGTCTCTATTAAAAACAGAAAAAATTTAGCCAGACGTGGTGGCGCACACCTGTAGTCCCAGCTACTCAGGAGGCTGAGGCAGGAGAGGCATTTGAACCCAAGAGGGGAGGTTGCAGTGAGCCAAGATCATGCCACTACACTCCAGTCTGGGTGACAGAGTGAGACTGTCTCAAAAAAAAGAAAATTCTAGTAAGTCTTATGCTTTTGAAAACTCAGATTCCTTAAAATGTTTCCTTTAACAAGGTTAGCCTCTTCTTGTCTAGAGTGCATAAGGCATCATTATGTGGTTTATTCATGGACTGGTCACTGTTTTCCCCCAGGAAGGATGTGAACTTCTTTGAGCTTCAAGTCATCTTGTCTATAAATGCCACAGTGAGACCTTGAAAAGTTTACGTACACTCTACCCTTGGGAAATCAAATACTTTCTCAGCACTTCTGAATAATTCTTAAGAATTCACCTTTAGGGTGAGATAAAGAAAATTTAGTAGATATAGGCCATAGAATACTATGTAGGCATAAAAGGATGAAATCATGTCCTTTGCAGCACCGTGGAAACAACTGAAAGACACTTTATGAGGTGAATTAATGCAGAAACAGAAACTAAACACCGCATGTTCTCACTTGTGAGTGGGAGCTAAACACTGGATACGTATGGACATGAAGACGGGAAGAACAGATAATGGGGAATAAAAGAGTGGAAAGGGAAGGAGGCAGGTAACAGCTGAAAAAACTATCCATCGGGTACTATGTTCACTATTTGGGTGACGGGTTCAGTTGAAGCCCAAACCTTAGCTCTGTGCAACATGTCCATGTGACAAACCTGCACGTGGACCCACTGAATCTAAAATTTTAAAAATTCACCCTTAAACAAAAAACTCTAAAACTGGCAATGACCATATAATGCAATGGAAAGGAAATGGAGAGAACCGGCTGATGTAAAGAGCAGATGTTTTCTCCTAGTACCTTATCATTGCTGCTCTGCCCCTGGCCATTCTGGGATTCCTGCTACCGATGAAACATGCCAAAAATGTGCCTTTACCTTCCTCACAAGCTATCTTCTTTGTAGGGACATTTGTAAGGTAGTTCTTTATAATGCTTTTCCTGCTTCTCCCCTGGGAAAAGTTTTTGTCATTTCAAATCTACTTCTATCATAAAACAATGTAAAACTGATGCCTCAAAGAGAAGCACCGTGATTTATTTTTGCATCTTCAATACCTAGAATGAAATTTGCCTCAAAGGAAGCAAGGCATATTACCATCTTGATGTGAATTAGATTCTGAACTTAGCCAAAACAGGTGCACGCAGATACATAGAGCAAGGTCTTAATGATCTACAAAGAGACTTGGACTCCCACACAATAACACTGTCAACATTAAACAGATCAACGAGACAGAAAATTAACAAGGATATCGAGGACTTGAACTCAGACCTGGACCAAGCGAACCTAAGAGACATCTACAGAACTCTCCCACCTTGCATTTGAGGAGAAGTAAATAACTCCTCAGCAAATGCAAAAGAACAGAAATCATAACAGTCTCTCAGAACACAGTGCAATCAAACTAGAACTCAGGATTAAGAAACTCACTCAAAACCGCACAACTATGTGGAAACTGAACAACCTGCTCCTGAATGACTACTGGATAAATAATGAAATGACGGTAGAAGTAAAGATGTTCTTCAAAACCAATGAGAATCAAGACATAACATACCAGAATCTCTAGGACACATTTAAAGCAGTGTCTAGAGGGAAATTTACAGCACTAAATGCCCACATGACAAACAGGGAAAGATCTAAAATCGAGACCCTAATGTTACAATTAAAAGAACTAGTGGAGCAGGACCAAACAAATTCAAACACTAGCAGAAGTTAAGAAATAACTAAGGTCAGAGCAGAACTGAAGAAGACAGAGACACAAAAAACCCTTTAAAAAAAAAATCAATTAAATTCAGGAACTGGTTTTTTGAAAAGATCAACAAAATCATAGACTGCTAGCCAAACTAATAAAAAGAAAGAAGAAACAAATAGATGGCAACAAAAAATGATAAATGGGATATCATCACTGATCCCGCAGAAATACAAACTACCATCAGAGATTATTACAAACACCTCTATGAACATACACCAGTAAATACAGAAGAAATGGATAAATTCCTGGACACTTACACCCTCCCAAGACTAAACCAGGAAGAGCTGAATCCCTGAATAGGCCAATAATAAGGTCTGAAGTTGAGGCAGCAATTAATAGCCTACCAATCAAAAAAGAGTGCAGGACCAGACGGGTTCACAGCCGAATTCTACCAGAGGTACATTCCAAACAATACAAAAAGAGGAAATCCTCCCTAACTCATTTTATGAGACCAATATCCTGATACCAAAACCTGGCAGAGACACAACTAAAAAAGAAAATTTCAGGCCAATATCCGTGATAAACATTGATGCGAAAATCCTCATTAAAATACTGACAAATCCAACACCACATCAAAAAGTTTATCCACCATGATCAAGTCTGTTTCACCCCTGGGATGCAAGGCTGCTTCAACATATGCAAATCTATCAAGGTAATCCATCACATCAACAGAACCAAAGACAAAAACCACATGATTATCTCAACAGATGCAGAGAAGGCCTTCGACAAAATTCGACAGCCCTTTATGATAAAAACTCTCAATAAACTAGCTATCAATGGAACGTATCTCAAAATAGTAAGAGCTATCTTTGACAAACCCACAGCCAATATCATACTAATGGGCAAAACTGGAAGCATTTCCTTTGAAAACCAGCACAAGACAAGGATGCCCTCTCTCACCACTCCTATTCAACATAGTATTGGAAGTTCCGGCCAGAGCAATCAGGCAAGAAAAAGAAATAAAGGGTATTCAATTAGACAAAGAGGAAGTAAAATTGTATTTGCAGATGACATGATGGTATATTTAGAAGATCCCATCATCTCAGTCCAAAATCTCCTTAAGTTGATAAGCAACTTCAGCAAAGTCTCAGGATACAAAAATCAATGTGCAAAAATCACAAGCATTCCTATACACCAATAACAGACAGCCAAATCATGAGTGAACTCCCATTCACAATTGCTACAAAGAGAATAAAATACTTAGGAATACAACTTACAAGGGATGTGAAGGACCTCTTCAAGGAGAACTACAAATCACTGCTCAAGGAAATAAGAGAGGACACAAACTGATAAAAAAAATTCCATGCTCATGGTTAGGAAGAATCGGTATTGTGAAAATGGCCATATTGGCCAAAGTAATTTATAGATTCAATGCTATTCCCATCAAGCTACCATTGACTTTCTTCACAGAATTGGAAAAAAATACCTTAAACTCCATATGGAACCAAAAAGGGCCCACATAGTCAAGACAAAGCAAACACACACACACACACACACACACACAACACATGCACACACACACAACCAAAGCTGGAGGCATCATGCTACCTGACTTCTAACTATACTATAAGGATACAATAATAAAAAAAGCATGGTACTGGGATCAAAACAGAGATATAGACCACTGGAACAGAACAGAGGCCTCAGAAGTAATGCCACACATCTACAACCATCTGATCTTTGAATGTCCTGACAAAAACAAGCAATGGGAAAGGATTCCTTATTTAATAAATGGTGTTTGGAAAATTGGCTAGCAATATGCAAGAAAGCTGGAACTGAATCCCTTCCTTACACCTTATACAAAAATTAACTCCAGATGGATTAAAGATTTAAACATAAGACCCAACACCATAAAAACCCTAGAAGAAAACCTAGGCAATACTATTCAGGACACAGGCATAGGCAAGGACTTCATGATTAAAACACCAAAACAATGGCAACAAAAGCCAAAATAGACAAATGGGGTCTAATTAAAATAAACAGCTTCTGCACAGCAAAAGAACCAATCATTAGGGTGAACTGGCCACCAACAGAATGGGGAAAATTTTTTGCAATCTACCCATCCGACAAAGGGCTAATATCCAGAATCTACAAAGAATTTAAACAAATACAAGAAAAAACCAAAGAACCCCATCAAAAAGTGGGCAAAAGATATGAACAGATACGTCTCAAAAGAAGACATCTATGCAGCCAACAAACACATGAAAAAAAGCTCTTCATCACTGCTCATTAGAAAAATGGAAATCAAAACCACAATGAGATATCTTCTCACACCACTTAGAATGGCGATCATTAAAAAATCAGGAGACATGGCTCACGCCTGTAATCCCAGCACTTTGGGAGGCCAAGGCGGGTGGATCAAGAGGTCAAGATATCCAGACCATCCTGGTCAACATGGTGAAACCCCGTCTCTACTAAAGACACAAAAAATTAGCTGGGCACAGTGGCGCGTGCCTGTAATCCCAGCTACTCAGGAGGCTGAGGCAGGAGAATTGCCTGAACTCAGGAGGCGGAGGTTGCGGTGAGCCGAGATAGCGCCATTGCACTCCAGCCTGGGTAACAACAGTGAAACTCCGTCTCAAAAAAAAAAAAAATCAGGAGACAAAACAGATGCTGGAGGGGATGTAGAAAAATAGAAATGCTTTTACACTGTTGGTGGGAGTGTTAATTAGTTCAACCATTGTGGAAGACAGTGTGGTGATTCCTCAAGGATCTAGAACTAGAAACACCATTTGACCCAGCAATCCCATGCTGGGTATATACCCAAAGGGTTATAAATTGTTGTATTATAAAGACACGTGCACACATATGTTTATTGCAGCACTGTTTACAATAGCAAAGACTTGGAACCAACCCAAATGCCCATCACCGATAGACTGGATAAAGCAAATGTATACTATGCAACCAAAAAAAACGATGAGTTCATGTCCTTTGCAGGGACATGGATGAAGCTGGAAACCACCATTCTCAACAAACTGACACAAGAACAGAAAATCAAACACTGCATGTTCTCACTCATGACTGGGTGTTGAACAACCAGAACACATGGACACAGAGAGGGAACATCACACACCAGGGACTGTCGGGGGATTGGGCGGGGTAGGGGAGGAATAGTGGGAGTGAGGGGATTGGGGAGGAATAACATTAGGAGAAATACCTAGTGTAGATGACGGGGGGATGGATGCAGCAAACCACCATGGCATGTGTGTACCTATGTAACAAACCTGCACATTCTGCACATGTACCCCAGAACTTAAAGAACTAAAAAAAAGAAAAAAAAAAAAAAAGAAAAGAATTCACAGAAAAAAAAGTCCAAGAATTTCGATGTAAAGAGTATCTAACAAAAATAATGCCTTAGTGCTGCTTTTCTCACCAGAAGTTATAACAATATTATCATTAGTAGCAACACTGCTTATTATTTCTCGAGCACTTAAATGTATTCCTGGCACATCTTTGAAATTTTACAAATATTATCTTTTTTTTGAGACAAAGTCTTCCTTAACAGCTCACTGCAGCCTCCACTTCCCAGGTTCAAGCAAATCTCCCACTTCACTCTCCCAAGTAGCTGGGATTACAGCATGCGTCATTCAAGTCAGCAGATTTTTATATTTTTTGTAGAGATGGGGTCTTGCTATGTTGCCTAGGCTGGTCTCAAACTCCAGGTAAAAGTGATCCTCCCTCCTTGGCCTCCCAAATTACTAGGATTACTGGCATGAGCCACCATGCCCAGCCTTATTACCCTTAATCCTCACAATAACTTTATGTTTCTTTAAATACTGCATTTTACCACATTTGACAAAAATCACATACACTGATTATAGAAAACATCATTAGTTTATAATGACTGAAAAAGGGAGAATGCTGACAACTAAACTATGATACAACTCTTTCTTCCCTCTTAGAATTTTGATTTCATTCTTACCAAAAGAGCTCTTTTAAACCCATTCAGACATTACAGTAACAAAACAAAGTCCACAAGAGTGCAAGCAAGGACAAGTACATTACAAAATGCGCCCCCCTTATTACCAATTGTAAAATGCCATTGATTTTAAGATACACTCCAGTTCCAGAAAAGTTAACATGTAAAAAAAATAGGCATCTTAGAAGTGCTGAAACATGAAATTTGTCTGAAAGGGTAAGTTACTTGCTTTGTGGATTACACAGCTAATAATCAAGGCCTTGGGATCTGAACCCACATCAATTAGACTTCAGAGCTTTTTCTAACCATGTCATGCCATATCCTGTTCTATTTGAAAGCTCTTTCCTTTACTTAGCTATCTATTAGGGCAATTAAATGGTGATTAAGAATCAACAGTAAGTAAATAGAAGAAAATAAGAACACATACTTGATCAAGTTATTGTTACTTATAGGAGAAAAAAAGGTACATAATCTTAACAGGGCATTTCCTCCAAAGTAGTTTCTAGTTTAGCAGAGATAATATGTGTACAAGTCTATTCCCAGGATCAACATGAGTGTTATGACAAGAGAATCTGTGTAGGGAAAGGACAGAAAGGAAAAGGAAGGCTTCAAGGACATTTAAAGTGGACCTTGGGGGTTAGGTAGAATTTCCACTGGAGAAGAAGGTATAAGGATAAGGCTTTCTGGGTAGAAGGAATAACACCAAGAAAAAAGGAGAGTGGAGTGGAGGGAAGTGCCATTCATGTTGAAAACAGTGAATAACTTTAAAATCTGAATAAAGTAGTTTAAGTAAGTAGCAAAGAATACATGACTGCCACACTTCTACACCAGCTAGGAGGAACTGCAATAACCACAGAACAGGAGAATAATAACCTTAAAGTAGGTGGGAAGGAACAAATGAGACATCAGAAAAGCAGAAGCTAGAGAAGACAAAGGATCAAACTTTAAAGTCTTGAGATAGGTTAGGAAGGCGGTTAGATCCCAGAATAAAGGGGTAAGATAGAATTTTAGATACTCAGAGTTAAGGGACCAGGTGTTTACTGTTTAACATCATTTACATGAAAGAAATGAATGAGATGGCAAAGGGAGAGAGAGAAGAGAAAGAAGAAAATAGACAAAATATCCCCCTGTGAGGAAATAAGAGACAGCAAAGAAGAACAAAAAGAAGAGTGATAGAAGGAGCTGGCCAATCAGAACCAGTGGACCCTTACAGAAGGTGTGCCCAGAAGCTGATGCACAGCAGATGTCAGACTATTGTCAAATGAATTAAAAGGAGTCTGATGAGGAGATGGTCAGGTTATAATGTTGTTTATTTTGTGTAACATATGAAATATAATTTTAAAGAATACAAAAGTTTTAGAAATACTCACCAAACATCCATACGTCACTAGCTGAGGTAAAACGTCGAAAATTGATTGACTCTGGAGCCATCCATTTAATAGGCAATTTTCCTTTGGAAGCTAGAATATTAATTTTAGAAAATAAATTTTCCTGTTATCTGCTTAAGAATCTAACAGAGCTAGCTGAGATTTTCAGTATCAAAGGGAAAACCCTTAACTATTTGACCCCTTGGATCTTCCATTTCTTTGGCAGAACTACTTTTCATTTCCTGGATGTTTTAAGGTCACTTGGGGGTGAGGAATGGTTAGATGGTAGATAAATAGAACACTAAGATCTCTCCCTCTATAAAGAGGGAGAGAACAGGGAGAGAGAGCAAACCCCGGTTTACCAGACATATTAGCGTGCAGCTCCATTACATAAGATTCCACAATTAACAGAAGAGATCCTTATCTGTAGGTTAGAACACTTGCTATATACACGTCCTATTAATAATAAACATATATAGTCAACCCTCACTGGTGTTAGTTATGTTTTATAAAGTTGTTGCAAACACAAAACCCCTGCTCTCGGGAGAAATATGTACACATATATTCTTACCTCACATAGATTACAATTTTAACTCATAAAACAACTCATTCTGGTAGGTTCTATTTCCTTTAGAAAAGGAAGCTCAGATGTGTTAAGTGACTTGCCCAAGGCTGCCCCACTAACAGGTGCCAAAGTTGGGATTCAGACCCCTCCAACCATCAGTGCCTGAGCTGTTGGCTCCGCTCTGTGCCGTCCCCTGCTAGCCCTGACCATGTCTTCCCTCCTCTGGCTGAGACAGGAGGGAGAGACTGCAGCCTTGCTGGACTTCAGCTGGATATGTGCATATTAGGGAATACTCAATTTTTTTTTTTTTTCCCCCGAGACGGAGTTTCGCTCTTGTTACCCAGGCTGGAGTGCAATGGCGTGATCCTGGCTCATCGCAACCTCCGCCTCCTGGGTTCAGGCAATTCTCCTGCCTCAGCCTCCTGAGTAGCTGGGACTACAGGCACGCACCACCATGCCCAGCTAATTTTTTGTATTTTTAGTAGAGATGGGGTTTCACCATGTTGACCAGAATGGTCTAGATCTCTTGACCTCGCGATCCACCCGTCTCGGCCTCCTAAAGTGCTGAGATTACAGACTTGAGCCACTGCGCCCGGCCTATACTCAAATTTTTTGTTGCTCTGTATATGTCCTCAAATGCAAAAAAGAATCTTGAGTGTTGATTTGGGGAATTACAAACGTAAGTTAGATACTAAGTGAATGTACCAATGCAGACTCCACAAAAGGTCAGGCATGTGAAGAGCAGGAAGGAGCAATGGATGAGAAGGACTTCTCCAGGGAAGCCTGAAATCAGCTCTCTTTTCAGGCCTAAAAGTTTTCTTTGTGCCACAAAGGAAAACCACTCAAAATCTTAGTAAACATTTCCTCAATTGCTGAGTTCTCAAGATGAACAATCCAGATCCTTTTCTTCAAGGAATTCTCATTCTAAAAGGCATACAGAAGTATACTCAAATTTGGTACAAGGTGTAACACAGATAGCTAATACATGCCACATGCCCTGAAAGTGGAAAGGAAACAGTGACTGAGAGAATGGCCAGGGAAGGCTGCAGGGAGAGGATATAAGAGCAGAAGGGGTTGCCCAAGGGAGCAGGGCACAGGAACAGCACCCTTATTTAGAAGAGCGTGAAGCATGAGCAGCTGGCTCTGCTAGCATGTCAAGGGTCTGGACTTTCTTCTGAAAGCAATGAGTTGCCTCTGAAGACGATCAGCATTCCTAGAAAGAGCATTTTGAAGAATCTCTAACCTTTTGGAGTTTGTACTTATTTCTATAGCCTAACAGAATGTGTACTTATTAACCTTTCTAAGGTATTTGTGTGAAATTGTCAACTGCCTGTTTAAAATGCTGTTCAAATGACATGAAAATTTGGATATCATACTATTTGGAATTTAGTTTTTTATTGGAATTCTAGGACTTAGACCAATTAAGATTGAAGCTGGATATAAAATATATTTAGAAATAGTGAAAAATTGACTTAGTCTTCTTTAAGTTAAATGACTAAATAATTAAAATGAATAAACAACTAATTTTCTTTTCATATATCAAAGGATCATTGCTAAAATAGTGACAGATAGCTGGGCACAGGTGGCTCATGCCTGTAATCCCAGCACTTTGGGGGGCTAAGGTGGGAGGATCGCTTGAGCCCATGAGTTCAAGACCAACCTAGGCAACAAAGTGAGACCTCATCTCTACAAAAAAATAAAAAATTAGCTGGGCATGGTGACATGTGCCTATGGTCCCAGCTACAAAGGAGGCTGAGGCAGGAGAATGACTTGGACCCAGCGAGGTTGAGGTTGCAGTGACTTGTACTCACGCCACTGCACTCCAGCCTGGGTGACAGAATAAGATCCTGTGTTTAAAAAAAATTTAATTTACGAAATTAAAAATGGATTTTAAAAATAAAGTAGTGACAGGCAATAATATACAAAAGATATATGGAAAGAGAATAGTTAGGAGATTAAAATAAGAGACTAGATTTGCATGTAAAAATCTGGGCTCATTTGGCTGCAATATAAAAATCAAATACACTGAGAAAGAAACTGGCCTGTGTAAAATGATCATCATAATTAGTAGCATTAATAGCATAACATGGATTTATCTAAGTCTTAGCTAAAGTTCTAGGAATATGAAAATATTATTCAGAAAAACAGTTCAGTAATACTTTGAGGAACCGATTCAATGTGATTCCAAGATTGGCAAAATTAAAGACAACTGACAGGAAGAAGCTAGATATCAGTTAAAAAAACGGATGGAGGCTAAGCACAATAGTTCCTGCTGTAATCCCAGCATTTTGGGAAGCAGAGGCAGCAGAATCGTTTCAGCTCAGGAGTTTGATCAAAGACTAGCCTAGGCAACATGGCAAAACCCTATCTCTACAAAAAAATTAGCCAGGCATGGTGGCACATGCCTGTAGTACCAGCTACTTGGGAGGCTAACAGGGAAGGATTGCTTGAGCTCAGGAGGTCGACGCTAAAGTGAGCCGTGTTTGTGCCACTGCACTCCACAATGCTCAAAACAAGCAAACAGAAATTCCACAAAACTAATGAAATCAAAGTTGCTGGAGTTAGCAGCCTGCATATTTTTAAGTCAGGTCCCCTTCACTGAGACAATTCATAAAACCAGCTGTACCTGGTGAAAGGTGATGGTGTGCCTACTGATTAAAAGACATCTGAGCTAATCTGAATTTCTGGCTATTACAAATACAACTGCAATGAACATTTGAGTATGGTTTTGTGTACAAGTTTTTGTTTCTTTAGAAGAAATATCCAGACGTGCAACTCCTGGGTCATATGATACTTGTATGCTTAAGTTTTAAAGAATTTGCAAAACTCTCTTCCAGAATGCCTCTACCATTTTACATTCCCATGAACAATTTAGTTTCTCTGCCTCTTCACCAGCATATTCTTTAACAAATTGACAGGTTTGTACTGTAATCTCATTGTGTTCTTAATTTGCATTTTCCTAATGGAGACAGATGTTCAACATCTGCATCTCCACACGCTTATGTGCAATCCATATATCCTCTTCACTAAAATGTCTCTTCCTGTTTTTTGCCCATTTCTAAGTGCACATTTTGTGTCTTTTTACTAAGTTTTAAGAGTTCCTTTTATATTCTTGGTATTAGCTCTTCGTCACATATGTGGTTGGCATGCATCTTCTCCTACTCTGTAGCTTCTCTTTTCATGCTTTTAACAGGGTCTCTGGCTGAAAAAATATTTGTAATTTTTGTGAGGTTCAGTTGATCAACTTTTTCCTTCTATGAATCCTTGTTTCTGGTGTCAAGTCTAAGGATCCCTGGGGCCTAGCCCTAGATGCTAAATATTTACTCTTAGGTGTATTTTTCCTAAAAGTTTAATATTTTGTAATTAAGTCTATGGTCCATTCTGATCTAATCTGAAATGGGATTTAGAGGTCTATTTTTTTCCTAAGGATATTCAACTGCTCTAGCACCATTATTGAGAAGGCTGTTGCTTCCTCCATTGAGTTAATTTTATATCTCTGTCAAAAATCAGGGGAGCATATTAGAACAAAGTGTTTTTCAGAAATATGTTAAAGATTCCAAGCCTATTTCTTAGGTACTGCTCTGATTTCTTACCTTTGTAGTAAGTACTATCTTCCATATATCGGGATAATCCAAAGTCTCCTAATTTTACACAATCATTTGAGGACACTAGAACATTCCGAGCAGCAATGTCCCTGGATAAAAAAGAATTTGAGACAATAAGACTTAACATAAGAAAAACAAATGTACAAGCTCATATATAAAGACATACCAATAGGAACTTTGAAAGACAGCTTATATACAATGCAAGTAGATTATATAATATTATAAAATATATATATCATAAATCTAATATATATACACACAGGCACACAAAAATTTACTTCATATATACTATTTTTGCCAAATATTTACCCATTAATACAATTATTTTGAAAGATGGCAAAGTATATTCTAAAATAATGAAAATCCTTATTACTGGTTCATAAAACCATATTACCAACTGCATTAACTGATAGACCAAGTGACATACAACTGGGGTCTATAACACTGCCATTCCTAAAGAGATACCATTAAATAAAAGTTGCCTTCTGAAAACTTGTATATGATTTTGCTGATGCAGTTTATTTTTTTAGTCTTAGTTTTTGTTTATTTTTTTCTTTTTTTTGGATGAAGTTTGTTTTAATGTAGGGTAACAAAACACCAACTCAATATAATACTTGGCAAACAAATTTTAAGGGCCTTTACTTGCATTCAGAGACCTAAGGCTATAAACAGAAATTCTGCAGAATGTCAACAGATGTCACTCACAAGGCAGTGGTATCCTGTAAAGTTCCAGGACGATAGTTACTTTAGAGGCCACTGCCACATGTTCACTGCTCTGCTGCCAAGGACAGGTTCTCAATAATGTTTGCGTACAGAAAAAATGACCTAAAAGTATCACAATATGTTTTAAACTCCATGTGTGTAAAAATCCTTTAACTGTGTATGAACATGCCATGGCAATTCACTCTGGTAGGACACAATGCGGCATGACTTGCTAGTAACTGTGTACAGTAGATTCCAAAGGCACACACAGAATACAATGTTGGAGAATTGGTACAAAATGGTACCAAAGGGGTCCCTGGGACTAAAAGAGTCTGAAAAGGGTCCAAATGGGTCCCTGTTTCATGATCACTACTTTTCAGAAGGCAACTTAACAGCTTTATAATCGTACCTTACCTGTGTACAAATCTTTTGCTCTCTAAATATGCAAGAGCTGTGCTAAGCTGATAGGCATACAGGATCAAAGATGCTAGATCCAAACTGTATTTCCTCACTTGCAAAAATGACCTCAGCTTTCGGAACAATGGCCAAAAGAAGAAGAAAAAAAAAAAAGAATTAGTGATAGTGAATCGAAATCAAAAGCAAAAAAGCTACATTCAACAATAATGCTGTTTCCAATGCATTTTTAATAATATTAGAATGGCTTCAAGTCTCTTCTAATAAAGCATAATGAATGAAACATTTAAACCCTGGATTCAGATTTAATTAATTTTTATTTGAAATCCTATCATAAAATTAAAATCTTTTTGACTACAAATTTATTAAAAAATATAGAAAGATATGCTACAAGGGAATGAATAAAAGCACAGTAAAAATTATTGCTAAATAATAATAATTAGAAGAAAAAAGACCTAGTTACTATTCAAACAAGGCTAATGCACAGTCAATTTATCTTCAACTCAAAGCTTACTGTGGCTCTGGGAAGGTGAGAGGATAGTGTAATGAGTAGAAAGCAGAGGCAAGAAGGAATCTCCTCTCTTTTATTCCCTTCCCCATGAAGTTTTGGATGCAGAAGTGCAGAACACTCATGTTGGGTATTTATCACATTGGGCTTACTAGTTCATGCTACCACTGACACCATTAATAGAGGTAAATGCTAACATGGCAAAGAAAGGCAGACACATTTTAATACTCTAATTCTAAATAATCAATTGATAAGAGAGAAATATTTAGCCATATTTTTTGAGCCAGAAGAAGTAGCAAACTCTCCAAAAGCAAAAGCAGAAAAGTACCATGAACAAAAAATTATGCATTATGTACTCCATTGACTTGGTAATGTAGGGTGGAGGAGGAAGAGATGTTCAGAAGATGAACTCACACAGCGCTTTTCCCCCACCCAGTTTGATTCAGCAGGCCTGGGGTGGGGCACAGTTATCTGTGTAATGAGTTCCCAAGTGCTAGTGATGCACTGATTCGTTTCTGTGTTCTAGAGAAAGGAGAGCTATTCACTTGGTTACTAACATTCTTAAAAGAAACTATGGCTGGGTGTGGTGGCACACACTTATAATCCATCCGAACACTCTTTAAGGCCAAGGCAGGAGGATCACTTGAGTCTAGAAGCTCAAGACCAGTCTAGGTAGCAAAATGAAACCCTATCTCTATAAATAATTTAAAAATTAGCCAGGCTTGGTGGCATGTACCAGTAATCCCAGCAACTTGGGAGGTTGAGGTGAGAGGATCGCTTGAGCCCAGGAGGTCGAGGCCGTATTGAGCTGTGATTGTGCTACTATACTCTAGCCTGGGCAACAGAGCAAGACCTTGTCTTTCAAAGCAAAGATGCCACAAAGAGAATTCCCAAAAAGATTACTGCACAGGGAGATGCTTTGGGAATTTATGAAGATACTATACCCATATTCTCTGAACCAAAACCATAATGACACACATCCTAAATCAGATCTCTCCTGAAAATCCAAGATATAAACTGTTTGTATTTCCCTTTCTTAAACAAAAGATATCAAACAGTGAGTACAGAAGGTAAGGTTTGGGGATCACCATACCTCTCCAAGTGTGCACAGCTCCATGATTATCCAGACAGGATTCTCTGTGATGACTCCAATCAGCTTCACAATATGAGGATGGTCAAACTGACGCATTGTTACTAGGGAAGAAAGTTCTCCATAGTTATTCTTTTGAAAAGTCTTTCAGCTTTTCTGAAGACGAATTCAATTAAGACACAAGGCTGGCAATGGGGGAACTTTAAACTCAATTCCATAGGTCAGTTCAGCTCACAAACGGGAATAAATTGGCACAACAAGTTATGTTCTACTATTGAGGTTTAAGATAACCACTGTTAAGGAAAACCCTTTACCTTCTGCACATGTGGTGGGCGGTGGGGCAGGCAGAGAAGAAGAAGAAAGAAGAAAGGGGAGGAGGAGGAGGGGAAGAAGAGGGGAAGGGGGAAGCAGATGGGGAGGAGGAGGTAGAAATGGAGGAAACGGAAGAGGGTGGGGGAAATGGAGGAGGAGGGGGAAAGAGAGAGGGAAGGAGAAGGGGGGAAGAAGGAAGAAGAAGGAGGAGGCAGAGAAGAAGAAAGAAGACCCTTTTCCCCCGCAAGGACAGATCTGACCTTGGGATAGCTTTCTAGGTCTTCTACAAATCTGCTAAGTAGAAGTGTGTAATTCATTTACTAGGCAACCACCTTCATGGTAAAAATCACTCCTGACTGGCAAATTGCTGGGGAAGGAGGTAAAATGGGACTAAAAATACCTGGTGAAAAGCTACAGCTAGGAGATGCCCTGAGTGTGTGGACTATGGTAACCGGGTGTGTTTCTTGAAAGGCCTTGGAAGCCATACTCCATGGGAAAGTCACAAAAGATTTCCAACTTTGACATAAAAGGTTGGTTCCTGCATCCACCACTGTTCTCTTGTCCTCTTAAATTTAACTGGTTGCTTTCAGGGCCCTAAAAGAGACTGTTTTGGCCGGACATGGTGGCTTGTGCCTGTAATCCCAGCACTTTGGGAGGCTGAGGTGGGCAGATCACCTGAGGCCAGGAGTTTGAGACTAGCCTGGCCAACACGGTGAAATCACGTCTCCACTAAAAATACAAAATTAGGTGGGCGTGGTGGTGCAGGCCTGTAATCCCAGCTACTCAGGAGGCTGAGGCACGAGAATCACTTGAGACCTGGAGGCAGACACTGCAGTGAGCAGGAATTGTGCCACTGCACTTCAGCCTGGGCAACAGACTGAGACCCCATCTTAAACAAACATACAAACAAAACAACAACAACAACAAAACACAAAAAAACTGTTTACAGGACAGCCATGAGGACTTTCACATGAGAGAAATGCCAGCTGCTGCCTTTCTGGCACACTTTGTTTCTGGTCCTGTATTACTCTCAGGAGAGTCTGATACCAAATGTGGCCTATGGCAGTAACATGAGTTTGATTGCCTAATGGAGCCAAGATGATCAACAGGGCACTGCATATATACATATATCTCTATCCGTGGACATGTATGTTAAGGTGTATGCATTTATACTTTCTAATATCAGGGCTGAGAAGGTTACTTGCACAGTATATGGGGATTAGCAAAACACAGAACAGACTTCACAGAATTATAGCATTTCAAAACTGTAAGTGATTTTAAAGGTGCCCTGCTGCAGTGGCTCCAAAAACACCTGATTTCACAGACTATAAAAATGAGAAAAAAAATTTCTGATGCCAAGCAAGGAAATTAGAATAAAAGAAGTAATTTTAAAAATATAATCAACATGTAATATTGTCAACATGTTATAGAATAGCTGGTATTGACCATTGTGAGGAAAAATTGTAAAAGACTTTGTTTTTGTTTTTAAGACGGAGTTTCGCCCTTGTTACCCAGGCTGGAGTGCAATGGCGTGATCTCGGCTCACTGCAACCTCCGCCTCCTGGGTTCAGGCAATTCTCCTGCCTCAGCCTCCTGAGTAGCTGGGATTACAGGCATGCACCACCATGCCCAGCTAATTTTTCGTATTTTTCGTTGAGACGGGGTTTCACCTTGTTGACCAGGATAGTCTCGATCTCTTGACCTTGTGATCCACCTGCCTCGGCCTCCCAAAAGACTTTGAAATGGGTCAAAAAATATTAGGGGATGTTCTGTCTAGTTCACTTATGTGTTTTACAAGTTTCCCTCATATTCCAAAAACAGGACCTGGTAGTGTTTTTAAACAAACACCACCAACAAAAACCCAAATAACATAAACACCCAGCACATAATCCAAAACATATAATTAAATCTCACCTTGTCAGATTCAGTTCATTGCTTATACTGTGGTATTTTTGGATAAACATTAAGGCACCCAGAATATTTACTATAATTATACTTTTGATTTACTATAAATAACTATTTGTTATAACTTTTGGTTTTATGTTATTCTCATGTATAATTATCAAGCCTTTCATATTTCCTCAGAAGTAATTATTAGAAATATAAAATAGTACAAAGCTAAGAGAATCTTGCAGCCACTAGGAAACTCTAGCCAAACTGAACTAAAAATAAACACGTAGAATAGTTTAGAAATTAAATTTTACTGGAATATATTCTTGCTCATTTTTTTCTGTCCTGTCGTCTATGTATGTTTCACAGTACAATGACAGAGGTGAATACTTGGGACAGAGGCTGTATGGTCTGCAGAACCTAAAATATGTACTATGTGGCCCTTTAAAGAAAAAGTTCAACAATTTCTGATCGAGGCCATATTTTCTATCTTGTATATAGTCTGGTAAAGCCCTACAGAAGTTTAGATACACAACGTCTATCACATTTCCCTGAAATAACTGTTGAGTAACCCTCTCAAAGAAGAAAACAACATTAGTTCAACTTTTATATATATATATACATATATGTATATGTGTGTGTATATATAGATATATATATAACTGATTTTTGTAATGACAGTTCCAAAGTCCTACAAAATCAGAACACAGTAACTGTTCAGAATTTTAAGAAAAGATAACCAATTTTTAAAATTTGCATTTCTGAAAATATAAAACGCACAAGAATACCAGCAAAGGTAAGGCAGACATGGTGTCGGGTGATGATGACTGATGTGGTCTGTTTTCTCGGCCTAGGTGCTCTGCAGAAATGAACTGTCAAGACAGAAGTCATTGGCCAGGCCTCCTCTTGCACTTAAGTCAAAGACGCAGGAACAGGATTAAGGATGTTCTGAGACTTAATGTAGTCACCACATGGTTTACTCCATGATTATTAATTTACTGGACTGTTAGATGGTAAATATTTACTAAAATGGAAAGCAGAAGGCATTCATTTGATGCATACATCATGTAGGACACCAGAATGACAAACATCTACTGGGTATTCTCTAGGTGTCAAGCATTGTGCAGGGCACCGAGTATGGAGTGGTGAGCAAAGCAAACATGGTCCTTATCCCCACCGAGCTTAAGGCCTAGAGGAAGAGACTGACAATAATCATTTGTAAACAAGGTAGCTTTAATTAGGAATTCTTAGGAAGAAAAGAACATAGTCCTGTGTGACAATGAATACTATGGGGAGGCTTTTATATGGTGGTGAGAAAAAAGGTTCTCTATTGGAGGTAATGTTTAAGTTGGGGCCTGAAGCATGAGATAAGGCAAGCCATCGGAAAGGAGGAAGAGAAACATCACAGCTTGAGGGCAGGTAAGAAAGACTTGGATGTGTACAAGATCCTCACTCTTTAAGAGCTTACATTTGGGAAAGATTCATGCAGAGCTCTATGAATGGAGCCTATTCATGCAGAGCTCGTTCAAGGTAGCTTCTTCACCCAGAGTCAAAGGAATGGAGGTGGAGAAAATTATTTCTAAAGGCCAGGCACAGTGGCTCACGCCTGTAATCCCAGCTCTCTATGAGGAAAAGGCAGGCAGAGCCTAGGACTTTAGAACAGCCTGGAAAACAGCAAAAACCCGTCTTTCTAAAGAAAAAAATTAGCCAGACGTGGTGGTGCACACCTGTAGCACCATCTCTTTGCAGGCCTGAGAAGGGAGGATCCCTTGCATCTGGGAGGTGACACAGCGAGATTCGAAAAAGACCCTGCCTCAAAAAAAAAAAGTTAACTGCTGCTAGCTAAAATCACCTGGGAAGAGTCCTTTTCCGAGGTTTCTTCTTGAGTGAAGGTTTTGTTTAGTGTTTTGGAGTCAGGGTCTCATTCAATCACTCAGGCTGGAGTGCAATGGCACGGTATTAGCTCACTGTAACAAGGGCCTGCCTCCCAGGCTCAAGGGATCCTCCCACCTCAGCCTCCTAAGTAGCTGGGACTACAGGCATGGGCCACCATGCCCTGCTAATTTTTTTAATTTAAAATTTTTTTTATAGAGATGGGGTTTTACCATGTTGCCCAGGCTGGTCTTAAACTCCTGGGCTCAAGCAATCCTCTTGCCTTGGTCTACCAAAATATTAGGATTACAAGTGTGAGCCACTGTACCTGGCCTCTTTTTGGATGATTTATTCTTTTTTTTTTTTTTTGAGACAGAGTCTTGCTTTATTGCCCAGGCTGGAGTGCAGTGGCGCAATCTCAATCTCAGCTCACTGCAACCCCCCACTCTGGGTTTCAAGCTATTCTACTGCCTCAGTCTTCTGAGTAGCTGGGACTACAAGTGTGTGCCATCATGCCCAGCTTATTTTTTGTATTTTTCACAAAGACGGTGTTACCATGTTGGCCAGACTGGTCTCAAACTCCTGACCTTAGATGATCTGCCTGCCTTGGCCTCCCAATACAGGCGTGAGCCCCCACACTCGGCCTGGGTGATTTGTTCTGATTTTGTAGCAGGATAAGGGGAATAGTCATAGAGCCCTATTCCTTCATTAGTCTATGAGCTCCATCAGGGCAGGGACTGTGTGTGTCGTGCTCACCTCTGCATTCCCAGGGTCTGGGCAGCATCAACATTAGGATTACTTATATATCTGCACCAATTCCAGTGCAGAGATGTGTAATGGCATAAGTACCAAAGTATGAAGGAAATGTACATCCACCTACCTTTACACATAAAATATAATTTACCTGGAAAAATCTGTAGACTGGTGCTTATACAAATTTAGACATTAATTTGCAAGGCAAAATAATAAACATAGTTGTCTCCTAAAAATCAAAACATTATTTTTCTTATTTCTTAAGAGACAGTTTGGATCTCATAGACAGAAAGTTGAATGGAGTTCCACAGAAATTTCTAGAAACTTACAGGCTTCTTGAAGAAATTTCTCTCTCACGCTGTCCGAAGTACAGTTTTTACATGTTTTAATTGCAACTGCCAAAGCTGGATTCTCCTGTGTTAGGGAAATTATAGAATCACACACACATGAAAAAAGGTTTGCTATAATTAATCAATTCATGAAAAGCTGTCTGTTTTGCAACTATGTTGGTTATGGAACAGACAGAATCAGAAAAGCAAAATCTCAAAAATGAGAGGAATACTTAAAAACATTCAAAATAAAATCCCCTGAGAAAAATGGTCATGCACATGAAACATTGCATCAATTAATTTATTTATTCATTGACAAACATGTATGAAAGATACATGTTTCTGGTACTATTCTAAGTGCCTGGGATACACTGTTCAACAGCAGAGGCAGCAGTCCCTGTACCTGTCAAGCTTACATTCCAGAGGGGAACACAGACGATAAATAATAAATTAATTACATAGTATGTTAGAAGGTAACCATGTTATAGAAAAGGGAGACAGCAGATCAGGATATGGAGAAAGGGATGGAGGTTGCTATATGAGGTAGGCCTCACTGAGCAGATGAGACAAGAGCAAACAAACAAAGGAGGGAGGAGAAAGAGCTGGTTAAGGAACAGCAGGGTGCTCAAGGAACATGAGCAAGCCTCAGCTGGCACACAGGGTGGAAGGAAGGAGGGTGAAAATCATAGAGTCGGAGAGGAATGAAGGGGCCAGACCACAAGGGGTCTTCAAGGCCAATAGAAAGATGTGGCTTTTACACAAGTGAAATGGAGAGCCAAGGTAGGGTTTGGATAGAGGAGTACCATGGCGTGACCCAAAATTGTGAAGGAACATTCTGCTGTGGTATTGAGAAACGGCTGCAGAGAGGCAAGGTTAGAGACAGGGAGTTCTGCAGGTGGCTACCACAGTAACTCAGGTGACAAGTGATGGTGGCTTGGACAAACATGGTAGCAGTAGAGATGGAGAGGAGGGCTGAGATTCTGGCTATACTCTGAAGCTAGGGCAAAGTCAAGTTCAGGTTTTTGACCAGAAAAACTGGATAGAAGGGGAGGATCGGAAGCTCAGCTTCGGATGTAATAAGCCTGAGATGTCAGTAAGATAGCCAAGTCACACCGGCGAAATGATCGGCAGGATACTGCGACTGATGTTCAGGAGAGAAATCTGAGCTGGACAACAGACATCTAGAAGTAGCCTAGACAAAATCACTAAGGGAGACGAGAGAGGTCCAAGGACTGCTTTGGGTCTCTACAACATGAAGAGGTAAGGGAGAAGAGTGGAAAATGTCAAAGCAGACTGAGATGAGGCAACCAAGAAAGTAGGAGACAAAACAAGAAAAGGCGCTGCTCTGCAAGCCAAAAAGTCATTATGTATATTGACTAGTCGTTCACATTATATCATTTTATATATAATTACATCATAATAGAGAGATAATACATTGTCATTTACATTACTACTCTGTTCTCCATAACTAAAATGTAAGTTTCAAGACAGCAGGTAACTTGCCTGTCTTGTTTGTCAAAAAATCCCCATTAGCATAGCACTGAGTACACTATGTGCTCAATAAAGATCTGTAGAATTAATGAATGCTATTAATATCTTTCTTTTAAATGTAGATGCTGATTAACAAGTTACATGTGTCATATTTTCAAAATCCCTTAAATTGTGTTTTTGCTTAACAAGTTAGCTGTTGCATATTTTCAAAATACCTTAAATAACTTTATTTATTTTAGATTTCACACTAATTGTATACTATATGTTTCCAGGAAATAAAACATTTTCAAACAAGAGAAATATGAATGGTGAGATAACTGTATCATCAACTCAGGGACTGCAGTCCCTTTCTTCACCTCCGGAGGAGGCATGTCCATGTGCCAGATACCTCAAGGAAGGGGTTCAGATGGTAATGGTGACATGGTCCCTGGAGGACAGAGTAGCTGGCTCAAACAGAATGTGAACAAGAGCACAGAATACCTATCTACGAAATGTTTGAGTTTACAACCTTAGAGTCATTAACCATATCTGTGCTAAAATGTAACCACTTTACTTTGAATGAGTTAGTCTTATCTTCCTTAACTAGACTGTATATTTCTTTTTTTTTTTTTTCTTTTCTAGACTGCTCAGCAGGAGACTGTATACTTCCTTAGGACCATCACCATGAATTTTATTTCTAGCTAAATACGGAGCTAGCCACATGTAACAGGTATATAAGAAAACTGTATGGTTAGTATACAGTATAACTGAAATAAAATGCCCATTTTATAGAAGATCAGAGCAACAAAATCTTCCACATACCATAAAACCATCATCAATCCTGTCAACTAATTGAATACTCAGCAAACATGGTGCTTTATTAAGACAGTCTAAGGAAATGCAAACAAATCACTGCTCTTTAAAGACTTAGGGTTTCAAATGAATGTTAAGCGTTAAGATTCCATAGCTGGCACATATTCAAAATGCCACACACGAGCAATCATGAGGCTCAGCCATCAGTTTGGAGAATAGGACATGTGGCTAGTGGCCCCTCAAGTGGACATCAGAGGTCTGGGGAATGCTGAACTGTTAGAGGGGCCAGTTACAGAGATCAGACTGTTGGAGAATGGGTCAAGCAAAACCAGAAAATGTGCAAAGGGATTTTTCTAAAAACTAAACAGTTACTAATTGGTAATTACTCAAAATAGATTTTAAAAATCTTCTGTAAAATATAGGCAATATTTAGAAGAAGAGAGAAGTTTTTCACTGTTCAATGAAAATACCACTCTGTGGCCACTTTGCCTAGACAAGAGATGCATGATTAGGCTCCGAATTAATAACAGCTAGTAGATATTTAAAATATTTTAACAAATAAATCTAGAAGAAAGCTATTCTAGGATGAATTAAGAGAAAATTAGATTTAATAATAAATTTTTAAGGCTGAGAACAATAATAATGAATAATAATGAAGAGAGAATGTGCAAGTGATCAGCAGACGCTTGAAGAAAAGAAAAACAAGCCTGATAACCTTGCTTAATTAAAAAAAAATGAGTGCCAATAAGCCTTTAAGTAAACTACATGTTTACTGACTCTCATAATGAAGGTCCAAATTCTTCAAGATTCACACAGCCCCACACATGCCCCCGGTGGCCCTCCTATCCTTCCCATTGTTTCCTACCCTCTACTCTGCAGCCACACTGGCCTCAGGACCTGTCCTGTCCTGCCTCATGGCCTCTGCCTAGAACAGGCTTCCCCGTGAGAACGCTCAGGTTCTGCTCCTTGCCTTACTTGAAAGCTCTGCTAACATGTTATCTTGTCAGAAGTTCTTTCTGACCATCCCATGTAGAACAGAATCCCCTTGTTGTCCATGCATTGAATTTTTCTCAGACCCTCTTAAGATTTACTGTATGTCTTTTTTGTCTGTCAACTTGTGCCTCTGGGAGAATTAAGTTATATCCCCAGCACCTAGAAACAGTAGCTGTCACGGAGCAGACAATGGATACAAAAGTGCTAAAAGAATTAACTGAATCTTAAATAAAAATGGTAGGTCTTTGCCCATGAAATTTATGCCAAGTTACATTTTGACCAATTAGCAACAATGCCTGATAAAATATCATTTGATTTTACGGAATACTAAAGAACATGCTCTAGAAAAAAGGATTTATACTAGAAACTTAGAGAAAGGCATAGACTGCACTATAAAATTAGACTCCCACATTAACAACAAAACAAACATATAAAATATACACAAAAAAGATATTTAACAGGCCTGCCATGGTGGCTCACATCTGTAATTCCAGCACTTTGGGAGGTCAAGGAGGTTGGTCACTTGAGGTCAAGAGCTCGAGACCAGCCTGGCCAACGTGGCAAAATCCCATCTCTACTAAGAATACAAAACTAGCCAGGTGTCGTGTCATGCGCCTGTAATCCCAGCTACTTGGGACACTGAGGCAGGAGAATCACTTGAACTCAGGAGGCAGAGGTTGCAGTGAGTCGAGACTGTACTGTTGTCAGTCGCAGAAAAGTACAGCACATACAATTACGTATAGTACATAATACTATATTTTTTTCTAATAAACTACACTTTTAATTGTTATATTAGTGAGACAGAGTCTTACTCTGTTGTCAGGCTGGAGTGCAGTGGTGTGAACAAGACTAACTATAGCCTTGATCTCCTGGGATCAAGTGATCTTTCCTCAGCCTCCCAAGTAGCTGAGACTAAAGGTGTGCACCACCAGGCCAGGTTAACTTTTAAATTTTTGTTTGAGACAGGGTCTTACTATGTTGCCCAGGCTGGTCTTGAACTCCTGAGTTCAAGCAATCCTCCTGCCTCAGTCTCCAAAGTGCTGCGATTACAGGCATGAGCCACTGCACCAGCCCCTTCTACTTATAAAACAAAACAAAACAAAAACCAGTCAACTGTAAAACAGACTCAGGCAGGGCCTTTTGCAGGTATCCAGAAGGCGGCATTTCTGCCCTAGGAGATGACATCTCCATGTCTATTACCGCCTCTGAGGACCTTCCAGTGGGATAAGGTATGGAGGTCAATGACAGTGATATGGATGATCCCTACCTTGTGTATGCCTAGCTTAATGTATGTGTGTCTTAGTTTTTAAGAAAAAAGTTTTAAAAATTTAAATTAAAAAAAGCTTATAGAACAAGGATATAAATACTTTACATGACTGTACAAGTGTTTTTGTTTTGTTTTAAACTAAGTATTACTGCAAGAGTAAAAAAGCTTAAACAATTACAAGATGCATGATGTAAAAAAGTTACAGTAAGCTAAGGTTAATTTAGTATTAAAAAAGTTTCTAAAATAAATTTAGTGTAGCCAAAGTGTATAGTGTTTATAGTCTATAGTAGTGTATAGTAATAATCTAGGCCTTCACATTTACTCATCAACTCACCCAGAGTAGCTCCTAGTCCTGCAAGCTCCATACATGGTAGATGCCCTATATGATTGCACCATTATTTTATATGTTATACTGCATTTTTATAGTATTTTTTCTGTATTTAGATATATGAATACCAAGTGCTACAACTGCCTACAGTATTCAGGACAGTAACATGCTGTACAGGTTTGTAGCCTAGGAACAACAGGATATTGATATTGTACAGCCTAGGTGTGTAGCAGGCTAGACCATCTATGTTTGTGTAAGCATACATGTCATCTTTGCACAATCATGAAATCGCCTAATAATGCATTTCTCAGAAAGTATCTCCATCATTACACGTGGCACATGATCTATTAGTCTAAAATTTCATTTAAAAAAATCACCAATCTAATTTAAAAAGACATGCAATAACAGATGCTGGTGAAGATGTGGAGATTTGCACTCTTGTACACAGCTGCTAGTAATGTAAAATGGTACAGCTGTGTTGTAAATCATTTTGGCAGTTCATCAAAAAGTTAAGCATTCTACCCAAGGCAACATCATGGAACCCTGCCTCTAAAAAAAAATAATTAGCTGGGCATGGTGGCACACACTTGTAGTTCCAGCTACTTTGTAGGCTGAGGTGGGAGGACCACTTGAGCCTGGGAGATTGAGGCTTCAGAGAGCCATGATTGTACCACTGTACTCCCTTGGTGACAGAGTAAGACCCTGTCCTCAAAAAAGGAAAAAAACAGAAAAAGTTGGCTGGTTCAGTGGCTCATCCCTGCAATCCCAGTATTTCCGGAGGCCAAGGCAGGAGGAACATCTGAGTCCAGGAGTTTGAGACTAGCTTGGGAAATGTAGCAACTAGCTTGGGAAATGTAGCAAGATGCTGTATCTACAAAAAATTTAAATTAGCCATGTGTGGTGGCACTTGCCTATAGTCCTAGTTATGTGGGAGGATGACTTGGGTCCAGAAAGTCGAGGCCGCAGTGAGCCATGATCGCATCACTGCACTCCAGCCTGACTGATAAAAGCAAGACCCTATAGCCATTTTTACCCTCCCAAATCACTGACACACACCCACACCCATATCCACACACTCTCTCTCAAACAACAGTTACCATAAGATGAAGCAATTCCACTAGCAGGTATATACAAAAGAGATACATTTATACACACAGACACACGTACATATAAAAATACATATCCACAGAAAAATTTGTGTATGACTGTTCACAAAAACATTTTAATAGTCAAAAAGTGGCAACAATCCAAATATTCATCAGCTGATGAATGGATAAACAAAAGGTGGTATATTATACACCTATACAGAAGCATTATTTGGCAATTAAAAAGGAATGAAGTACTGACACATACTGCAACACAGATGAACTTTAAAAACATTATGCTAAGTGAAAGAAGCCAATAATTAAAAAACCATATATTATGAGATTCATTTATATAAAATGTCCGGAATATTCAAATCCGTAGAGACAGAAAGTGAATGAGTGGTTGCCAGAGGCTGGGGAAGGGTTGAATGGGAAGTAACTGCTAATGGGTATAAAGTTTCTTTTTGAGGTGAAGAAAATGTTCCAAATTGATTGTGGTGACAGCTACACAACTCTGTGAATACACTGAAATGCACTGAATTGGATACTTTAAAAGAGTGAACTTCATAGTAAGCAAATAATACTTTGGTCAAGCTATTATTGTGGCAATCATTTTTTAAATTTATTGATCTCTTTTGGAGGGTAAACTGGGGCAAATTAATGTTTCTTTCTCAAAAATGCAGGTAAGTAAGTATACTGGCTATTTCTGACTCTCATCTAATTTGTTAATTCTATCCAAAGAACAGTCGCCTATGGAAGCTATTACTGATGACAAAGGCTAAAAGAGATCAAAATGGATAAAACACAGGCCCAGCCTTGTAGGAGCTAATGTTGCCATTTTTCGGCTTCTGAATATGCCAAGTAAAAGATATTTATCAAGATATTATATCTTTTGTAATTATAATATATAAAAATTTTGGTTTCTGAATATGCCAAGCACAAGCTGATATTTATAAGATATATCTTCTGTAAATATTAATACCTAGAAGAACTAAGGACTCATGAAGATGAAAAAAGCAATTTAAACTTAAATAGCCAAAATTAGTGTAGTTGCTTGGTAGTCTTAAAAGACTTACTGGACTGATATAAACGCCTTGATGTACATCTCCAAATTGGCCTTCTCCAATACATCGTCCAAGTTCTATTCTTTCTCTTTGAATCTCATAATCTCTGGCTGCAAAACATAATTCACACATCATTAAATACTTACTGCTCCAAATATAGAAATAACACTTGACATATTTCTTGATCATCCATAAATACAAGTTTCATCTGTGGCACATCAATCTAGGAAAATGCTTTAAACAGGGTGGAATTCTCTTAAACAGTATTTTAACAGGAATTTATGTAATTAGTAATGGTATTAGAAGAACTATCAAAACAGTGAGTTCTACTAAAGGTAGATATTTTTCATGTTGTTCCTAGGAGTTTTAAAATTTCTGATTTATTTTATATCTATTTGATAGTTTTCTAAATAATCGCTCCAACTATTAAATTATATGCTTAATTATTAAGAACTATTAGCTTAGGTATTAATATATGAAGGCTATAAAAGCATAGTTATTTAAAGCAATTATTTTACAAATAACTACAGTTTGTAAATATGGAAGTAATATATAAAATTATGTCATAAGAAAACTTTATATTTTGAAAGTTTAAGAGTTTTCCACTTCATGATAATCCTATCTCTATATTACTTATGGAGCTAAAAGAGTTTAAAGAGGTAGGTTCTAAGAACTAATTTCAAAATCAGATGGCTCAGAATCAAGGTTGGACATATCAACATTATAAATCATAAATATTTTTTACTTTTGAGACCATGTGTCTCAATATATTATTATAATTTATATAAAAATTGATTATTTAGGTTTTTGAGGCACATGGAAAGAAAATGCCCAATAGGAATATAATAGTTTCAATTACAACTCATTTAGTTACTTGGTATTTTGATTTATTTCAGTTAAGAAACTCATCTCCATAGGTTATCACATATATATTCCACTAGTATAATCACCAATGAAATACACCAAGAGCCAGATATTTTTACATGTTCCCCCTGGTTTATCAAATTATAAGTACAGAACGTTCAACCCAAAATTTAGGTAGTTATTTTCCTCTTTAAAATCACTTTAGCCAGTAGTTCCACTGATTTAACAGTATGAGTAAACCAATGACAAATAGTTTAAAAATAAAAGTTAACCAAAAACTGAAACATCCCACTATCACTCCAGAGGTGGCAATTGCAAGCAAATGCAGTTAATTTAAAGGAATCCTGTTACCTTCATCTATTCCATAGCTTTCTGTATTGCAATTAAGAGAGAAAAAAAATTGAAGACCTTGCTTAGAAATAACTAATAGCAATTAGGTTAAAAATACAAACTTGAAAAGAATATTTCAATTATACTTAATTTTTAAAATATTTTAAGCACAAACACGAATTTAAAAAAAGAACTAAATATACGTAAAAACTAAATATCCTCAAGTTTACTCAATGTTAGTTAAACAATGCTTTTAAGTTCCTATCTCATCTATTACTTATTTTTTGTGGGATATGAATGAAAGCCATGTTGAACATTTACCACTCAACTATAAATAATAAATATATAAATAAAAATGGGATCATCTGCAGGAATGTACAAGTGACTATATGGCTAATCAAACAAGTAAGGAAGTTTTTTTTTCCTCCCTGAGACAGGGTCTCACTCAGTTGCTCATGCCAAAGTACAGTGGTGCAATCAGGGCTCACTGCAGCCTCGACCTCACAAGCTCAAGCAATCCTTGCACTTCAGCCTCCTGAGCAGCTGAGACAACAGGCGTGTGCTACCATGCCTGGCTAACTTACTTATTTATTTTTTTTGTAGAGATGGGATCTTGTTGTGGTTACCTGGGTTGTTAATACACTCTTAGACTTGAACAGTTCTCCTGCCTCTATCTCCCAAATTGCTGAGATTACAGATGGGAGCCACCATGCCCGGCCAAAAAGTTAAACCTAAGTTTAAACATTTTTTCCATATTGATGCTGGCAATCAAAATGTATACACAAGTTTCAGCTCTGGCCTCTTTTGAATCACTCTCTATTGAAGAAGCTCTTGAAAGGGGTCCACCAGGCAAAGCGCACACCTGACAAGCAACATTGGGTAGTTTCTCTGCATTTTGGTAATGCTTCCTTAACGTAAACAGAAAATCCAAATAAGAATATTTATACAATAGAATAAGGCACCTGTAACATTTATTTTACAAATATATATAGCTGTACTGAAATCAGGACATTCAAGATTTTGAATTAACTACTAAGACTTCTGAGGACTCTTTAAAAGGTAGGTTTAATTTTTTTTTATATTCAAGTCCATACTGTGTGGAAAATTTTAAAAATTAAAATAAGAAAATAAAATTAAAAATAATTTTTTATGCAAATAAAATTTCAAGAGTTTGTCTAATTTAAGATCTGGAGTCTACATACTCCAACACGAGACCTACGATTTTCCTTAATTAACAAGCTACCCAGCACGAAGAGATGTAGCATCTTGACATTTCCAGGCTGAATAAAGGTTAAGAATTCTGTTTCTCTCCCCATACCTCCCACCCCTGAGGTGTACAGATTGACAATGGTTAGAAGCTATTAGTCAATGGCAACAAAGAATAAACAACTTCAAGGGGAAGACGCAAATCTTTGAATATATGTGTGTGAATGTGTGGGTATATATGTGTGTGTATGTATGTGTGTGTATACACACACATTCACACACATATATACTTAACTAATAATACTAATTTTCTACAGATAGAAAATACCCTCATCAATAAAGGTTCTATTATGATACAGCCAGAAAACAAGATTACAAAAATCCTCTAACTAAACATTATTACAGACATTTGAGTTTTAGGCTTCTCACCTTAGAGTGGGCACATGTAATATAGAATGGTAAAAGCTGAAAAGAGTATTTCTGTTCAGCACCCAAGGAACTATAAAAAATGGCTCTAAAAAGACAGTAAGAATCAAAAACTTTTAAATGCAAGGAGGTATCTGTGAAGTCTGAGCAAGAACAAAATAAGAAATGTACTTACTTGAGGGCATGGTGTAAGTATCTTCTTCATCTATAATCTCAGCATAATCATCTGTCTCTGTAGGAAAAGAAACATATCTGTTGAAAGAGGTGAAATATCTGACCTCCTGGTATTTCACATAATTAAAATAGGCAAATCAGTCTGCTTAAATCCTCTAATCCTGCTGAAATATTCTTAAAACACTATTACTCAAATTTTGCTCATACATGAGTCATTTATGGAAATAAAAGTGACATCATTGTCCAATATGTTATAATACACAGACTTGTTTATCAGAGAGCAAACAGGGCTAACAGAGAAAGCCCTTGTAAAAAACAGAAAGACATGAAACAACTATGTATATGCTTCAAATTAACCAATCTGTACCATCTGCAAAACTCTTCCTCAACTACACCAAATACATGTTTTAAACTACAATTGTCTACTGGCATTTCTTCAAATAAGACTGGTATCTCCAAAACACAGTATGTGATTTTATTAACAATTAGTCTTGAGAACACAATCTGCATGGAACCTTGAGAAAATAATGGCAGTCCCATTTTTTAGATTAACTGTGCTAATTCATTCCATTTGCTCAGGGTTGAGAAATATAACCCAGTAATTTATTTCCTAACTTTTAAACTCAGATATCCCAAGAGTAGGCATTATTGTCAAAAGGGTAAAAGATCTTAAAAAAAAAAAAGCATATTAAATAAAGAATAAGCAGCATATTAAAATGAGGATATCTGTATCATGTCAAGAAGTTCCAATGTTTCTACTGACTCCTTTGGGCAATATAGCAACTTAAAAGTCCACCAGTATATTAATGGGAAATTTAAAAATACCCATCTGAAGAAAACAGTCACTCATATAGGTAACAACTACACTGAAAAATCATTTCAGCCCTGTCTTTTTTCTCTTTCTAAAAAAAGAAAAATCTTTAGTTGCTCCATGTATAAGGGTTTTAACTGCTAGGCCATTCTCATGAGTCATAAGAGTAGGGACAGTACTTTGTGATGCATCTTTTCCAAGGAGCTCTATTTTGATATTTTGACCTGGCATCCCTGTTTAACACCAGAGAAACTAAAAGCTACAAGTTCTTGCTTCTATGCTGCCTTATTATTGCATTCAGATATTAAAGGTATAGAATTGAAAGAAAACAGAGAATATATGTGGTTTACAGTCACTAGGATATCTATCATTCCACATACTACTATGGTAATGACTGAGATCAAATCTACAAATGGAAGAATTCACTTATTATGTAATCATCATTGAAAGTGATTACAGTAAAATAAAAAAGCTTTGCAAGCAGAACATAACACAAATCAATTCTCTTTAAGACAGTTATTATTTGTAAACTATTCCTAAGTCCTATATGACAGGTGGATAATCTAAATTATTCTTCTGTGTTTATAAGTGGTAATACTCATAACATTAAAAAAGTTTTAACAGACTCGAAATCGTACATTATTTTATTTCTGGACTTCTCCCTCTTAATCTGTTTTCAGGGAATACTAAGAACATTAAATTGGCATCTGTAGGCCTATAGCTCTGCTTCTGTGTAAGATGGCTTATCAAAAGACCCTATGAAAGAAAATTTGGGGATGGAAGGGAGCTGCTAACACACTTGCAACAACAAAAAAACTAAGCAAGAGAAGAATCTACTCTAATAGCTAAGGCAACAGAAGCCACACAAATGGCCATTTGCAATCATTTCTCTTTGGATTCCATAATTTAACATGCTCAATTTTGTGATGCTCTGCTGAGAAAATGAATGCAACTAAAGCTGCTTTTCCACACAACAGCCCTAGCACCCTCACTGCCTCCTTTTATATAAAGCATGTGCCTTTAGAAGTAAGACACATGGGTTGGCCCTGCTGCAGCAGGATTTTGGGAGAGAGCACCACTCAAACTCTGAACCTCTGCTTCCCTGGCCCCATTTGCCCTGTTCTCCAACTTGCCGAAGAGTCTCAACAACCCTGCATGTAGCTCGTGGTGTTACTAAGTAGATGGTCTGCACTTGTCACCATAGGTACCAAAGCTTCATATGGCTGCAGGGCTTCATTAAAAGCCTGTTCAGAAGCCCATGTCTATCAGGTGACAGGTGTCTATCGCCTTAATGAAGAAGGGCATAAAGCTGCTGCTAACAGCAGTGACGGTGACCTCCAACTGAGGGCTTTACCATGCACTAAAGCTTATGTTGGCCCAGAGCCAATTTTGGTTTTAGCCATCTATTCAAAGATCTCTCCTCAAACTAATTTGCCCCATCCCATTGTTCTTCATCATGTTCCTTGACTCATTTTCCTCATTACCTATAACCACCTGGTATAATTTTGTTTCCTGTGAACTGTATGCCCACCCCTCCAGAATGGAATAACCACCAGAGTGAAACCTTCATGTATCTTGCTCACTACTATGTCCTCAGCAGCTAAAACAGTGCCAAGCACAGAGAAGGTCCTCAAGAAACATGCTAAACCAAACGAATGAATGCACTGCAGCAATCAGTAAAGGAAGTCTATACCCCTAGGAAACTCAGGCAAAGGATTTAATCTGTGTGAGGCATCAAAGAAGTGAACAGCAGAGCTGCAATACATGCAACAAAAACCACAAGCACATTTGGGGGAACCTGATTGAGCTTTGGAAAGTCACTTCACCTGGCAATGCTTCAGCTGTGCCCTCGTGGGTAAAATAACATCCACCTTGTAGGGTTGTTATGAGGATTACAGAAGACACAACAAACAGCTGAGATGTGCCCTGCACATAAAAGATCATCAAGAAACAGTAGCTACTCTTATTGTTTTGCTTCTTCTGAGGGCTCTCTGAAAGAAACCTGGCAGTTGAGGGTCTACGATTTTTGTGTGCTGATATTCTCAGTCAGTCTTTTCAGTTTGACAGCAGTCTTTCAAGGACTGTCTCATTTTATAGAATCCTCAGGAGAGATACCAACCTCCAAAATAATTGTGAAGGAGTAAAAGTAAATAGGCTGATATATATCGGGCTAGCACACATTAAGTTGCATGCATTTCAATTAATTCATATAATCACAAGAGAAAAACCTGTAAATTTTTTTTTTTTTTTTTTTTTTTTGAGCTGTGTGAGTTCTACATAAAATCTTTGGGGATGTATCAAAGCTGTATGGGAATTACTTATATTTGGGGTGCAGGTGTGTATACTCTGATGCAATGTGAACAGAGAACTCAGGGAGTAAAATCAACAATGTTGCAGGTACATGGATCTGCAAAAGTTTATAATCTTTATATATAAGTTTTCAAGTGGTAACACCTAGTGTATACTTCCAAGAATTCTTCTCTTTTCTTTTTTTCTTTTTTTGAGACAGGGTCTTGCTCTGTCACCTAGGGTGGAGTACAGGGGTGCAATCCTGACTCACTACAGCTTTCAGCCCCTAGACTTAAGTGATCCTCCCAGATCACTCTCCCAAATAGCTGGGACTGCAGGCACACACCATCATATCTGCTAATTTATTGTACATTTGTAGAGATGGAATTTTGCCATGTTGCCCATGCTGGTCTTGAACTCCCGGGCTCAAATGGAATCCCAGAATGCTGGGATTTGGTCTGAAAGAGTCTGGCAGCTGAGGGTCTAGGATTTTTGTGTGCTGATACTTTCAATCTTTTTGGTTTGACAGCAGTCCTTTGAGGACTGTTTCATTTTATAAAACCCTCAGTAGAGATACCAACCTCTAAAATAATTGTGGAGTAAAAATAAATAGGCTAATATATAATTATCACCCTAGATTTAATTCAAAAGATAAGAAAAATATAAAGTAAAAAGGAAACAGGTTCAAAGACTTGGGCACAAATGAAGATAGGTCTGCATTCTATATTTAATAATAACAATGACTACTAATCCCATTATTAAGGGCTTACCATATACTAGATGCTGTTATAAATAATTACATATATTGTCATTTAATCCTCAGCAAAATTCTTTGAGGTTGTACTATGATCAACACCCCTATTTCACAGGCAAGAAACTGCTGCATACAAAAACAAGTGGGCCATATTTGGCCCATGGGCCTTACTGAACAAGACCAAGTGACTACCCTTAAGGCTCAGCTTACTCACCTGTAAAACGGGTTTAAGTACCCTTGCCCTGGCTAATTCATAGCATAGAAAAATCAATGGGTGGGGAAAATACATGAAAATGTTTGCAGACATTTATCTAAATTTTGATGCTTATACAGAGTAATCCTCACAACAACCACTTGAGATCTCTCCCAGATGAAGACCCAAGAGATGAAGCAATTTGCTTATGATCCTTCAGCTAGTCAGTTGCTGACTGGATGGGGCTGTGGAAAAAGGGCAAGGCTGGATCCTAAGACCTAACCACTTCCATCCAGCAGCCTTAGTGTCTCTGTTACTCCTTTGATTATCAGTTTTCTCACCTGCAAAACAGTGAGGACCATACCCAGTGATATTCTGACTGACTGCTGAGAGTCCGAAAAGTGCCCATGTGCAGAAAGCTCTCAATATTATCACAGAAGCAATCTAAAAGTGAAGCTCAAACCTCTGACTTCAAATCCCATGAAGAATATGCACTTTGAAGACCTTTTACTACAACTGTTTAGCTTATGACACTCAAGTTATCAATATCTCTCTTCTATTAACAAAAATGAAAATAGGTGAACTCTTCAGCAAAAGCATTTTAATTTAATCAGGAGGAAAAAATACAGTTCCTTCTTAATTTTAGTTTATAAAATCTTACTCCTTTAGTATAAAAGAGGATCAAGTTTCATGGAAGCAGTGTATGAAGTAGATGGGAAACATAAGACATTAAATGTAATTTAAAATTTTTAAATTTCTACCTTAAGTGCTATCCACTGTTTGAAAAAATAATTACCTTCTTGCTGATATTTCCTTAATTACGTTAGTTTCTGTGAGTCTTTAAAATCACTTTTCATTCTTTCCTTCTATTATCTCATTACCAAACTAATAATTATTACATATATACTATACTTGGAAAATAGTGTATGGATCGCTCTATCATTATAGCTTTCAAGTGTTACTCATTTTGCTTTTGACATTTTTTAAGAACTCTCAAAGTTTTAATAATGAAATATAAAAAATTTACTAGGAATACATACAACTCAAATTACTAAAATGTGATTTAAAAATTGATAGCTATCCTTTCTGTGCCAAAGCCCTAGCAATTTTTAAGATATCATTTTTGCAGACCATTTTGTACTTGGTTCTGTTGGCTCAAAAGCACATTTTGCCTTTCATTAAATACTAAATTATATTTCCATAAATAATTATCTCATAGCAGTAACACAAATGTGAAAATAAATATTACCGTCCCCACTAATTTCATCTGCAGATCCAGGTGGCATGCAAAGAAAGGGAAGTAGGGAACAGAGGGAGGGAGAAATAGGAAGGAAAAGAGGGAAGAGAGGGGAAAACACTATTAAAATTACAAGTAAATCAAAATGTAAGAAAAAAGAATTACCCCCCCACCCAGGGTTTAATTCAAAAGATGAAGAAAGATTGTAGTAGTAGTATGTATACTTGAATTTCAGGGCATTATGCCAAGTTTTAAGCTGCCAATGTATTACATGACATTACACACCAGTGTTACAGAGTGCAAACTGGATTCTGCCACACTAATCAAATTTGACTGAGTCTTACAATTAAATTTTAAAAATGGTTTCTACTTTCCTCAGAGGGAATTTGTGTCCCCTTTGATAAAAATGCAAACAAACTAGTCATTAATGTGTATGTTTAGCTATATGAAGAAAATAAACCCTCACTAAGCCCATTCCAATGAGCCAGTGGGATTTAAATATCACATGGTAGATGTAGGCCAGGTCCACTATTATAAACTGTGCGGAGCGCAGTACTTGAAGCTCTGCTAACAACTAAGGTTCTCATTTAAGTTTGCACAGAACAAATTTTGTTCTGAATAGTTTGGAGAAATTACTGTTTAAGTTATTATAAATATAAGTTTTGCTTTCCTAGAAAATGCTCCAAATGGCATAGCTGCCTTTACTATGCAGCAGCCCTAAATACCTGTCCCCAAAGCATGAAGAACAGAATAACTAGGGGGTCACTCTGACCATTCTCCTTCATTCAGTTGCATGCTATCTTAGGAAATCCATAATGCAAAAAGTGTGATCCTGCTGACCTCTGTGGGAAAACACTGAAACACCACAAATGAAACTGAGAAGCAACTTCTTGCCCTGTCATGCATTTAAAAACCAGCAGACAAACAAAAATCTATTCAAGACAGTGACCCAAAGATAGACATAAAACCTTGCCCCGACCCCAACCCCCTTATTGCTTCTGAACAATAAACAGCACATACACTAATATTCAATAAAGCTACGATCTATTCAGGATAATCTATAAGCATCGAGTTAGAGTTAGTTTCTCTGGAGTGATCTGGTTAACAGGAGAGCCTGTGCAAAAATGAGTGCAGAGTGCAGTACCCGTAGAAGGAGGATCATGGGAACAGAAGACCAAAGGGAGAAAGCGCTTGGCTTTCTTAACTTTATGTTGACAGTGACTGACTCCTTTATAAAGAGGCAAGAGAGGAAAGAAAAAAATAGAAACAAATTATTTCAATACAAAAGACAACTTCTGTTACATTTTAAGGCTTATCTATAAAAACAGATACAAAATCGCAATGCTTTTATTTTGACTATTGGCATGCCTTATTTCTTAATATGACTGACTAGAGTTTTAAAAAACATACTAATATTTAAAAATGTAATTTCCTGTAGATTAGTACTAGATACAGAAACAAGACATGAGACTCTCCCAGCTCTGTAGAACCAGCCAACTGTACAGATATTTTTCCAAATGACATTTAAAGCAAAAATCAAAGACCAATAAATAATTCAAGACTCCTGTGAACATTTAACATTGAACCATAAAGAAAAAAAATAGCAGATCTTGATTTGTGAAAGAGTTTTATGAACAACTTCCCCCAAATCATTAGCAACGACACACAGCTCTTGAGTTATATACTTTACATAAATTACCTTAACATAAAAACTGGGGATGAGGATCTTTGAAAATACAGGTTGCAAAACCTCTACTAGCATTACTGATTCATTCACTCACTCATTCATGTACTCAAAGCTAATTTTAGAGTCAAAAAGCTGGATCAGTAAGACACATTTCAGCTCTCCAGAAGCATACAGAAAAAATGAGAAAACAAGCAGCAATTACAGTGTGGCAATGGCAAGAGTGGACAAACGTGAAAGTGAAATCTAAGCAAGGGACGCAAGGATGTAGCCCTTTAAGACGTAGCAGTCAGCATATGACAGACACAGGTAACATCGACATTTAACTGCACACTCACAGAGTATCATCAAGAAAGATCAGAAGTATGGGCCCAGAAAGAACAAGGGTCAGGACTGTTTGCCCATCAACATGGTAACAATCTTATTGATACTGTCAACATATTAGGAAAAGAAATGAGAACAGAAATGCACTCGTCAGTAATATTTTTCAAATGGTATGCTTTGATCTTAGTAACATTTACTGACAATTTCATCTTATTGCTTGACTTGAAAAGACACTTTACACACTAAATTTCTGGACTTGGTATACCATGGCCCTAGAGTAAAAAGTAAAAGCATAAACTGGGCTCTCAGTTAAGAAGATGGGCCTGCAGCCTGTGTAACATAGCAAGACTCTTGTCCTTTTTAAAGCATTCAAAAATTAGCCAGGTGTGGTGTTGTGCACCTGTGGCCCCAGATACTCAGGAGGCTGAGGTAGGAGGACTGCTGGAGCTGGGAGGTAGAGCACGGACCACAGAAGCAGAGCCTCTAAACTCCAGCCTGGTGACAGAAGCAGTGTCTCGATAAAAAAGATGCGTCTGACAACTGGATGCACTGTGTGATGTGGGATGGGATTTTGGACTGGGGAAGGGAAAGATCAGGCAGCAATATTGATACGGGCCATTATTGGGATGAAATAAGAATTTGGACTATGGATAACAGCATTTCTCCAGTGTTAAATTTCCTGATTTTGATAATTATACTCTGATCATGTAAGACAGTATCTCTGGTCTTCAGAAACACACACTGAAATGTTTATAAGAGGCACCATTTCTATAACTTGCTTTCCCATGGTTCGAGGGAAAAACTAGTAACAACAACAAAAATAACAACAAAAAAACCTATAGAGTGATAAAGTGAGCCAAAGTATAAACATATAGAACTGGAGGAAAGGACACATGAGACATCATGTTACTATTCTCACAACCATTCTCCAAGTGTAAAGTTACAGAAAAATAAAAAATACATGGAATACCAGCTCTGGAGCCAGACAGTTTGGATTCAAATACTGGCTCAATTACTTGTTCTGACCTTGGAAACATTGCTCAATTTCTGTTCCTTAGTTTTCTTATTTGTAAAATGGGGTATAACGGAAGCTACCTCCAGTAACAAGGTGGGGAGTGGATTCCACGGGATTTCCCGGGCACCTGGAACAGAGTGGCCACTCCACAAGTGCTGGCTACTCTTATTTTTCTCCTGTTCATTTCCTAACTGGACTGAATATTCTTTATACTAACTTACAAAGTGATTAAAAAAAAATTACAACTCTTACTACCAAAATTATGCCAGGTGAGGCAGATGAAGAGTTGGGAGTGGGAAAAGGGAGGTGGCACTGAAAAGCACTCAGTGAGGTACCAGAAGGCCACAGTGTCTGAGACCTCTTAGCTCATGGTAAGGGCACTGGCTTTTATTCTGAACGACGTCAAGAGCAAATGGAAGTAAGAAGAGTGACATCGTCTGTCATTTTTCAAAGGCTTCCTGGGAGCCTTCTAAAAGGGAATAGGTAGGTTTGCAATAATTTAGTTGAGAGACTGAGGTAAATATGAACCAGCGCATTCACATAGAAAGTTGGACTAGTGAGAAAAGAAAATCGCTCAGAGTGGCCTGAGGTATAGGTCTGCAAAATGTTTTAGTCCCAAAGAGGCAGGAGTGTGGGGCTTCAGTCATGCCCACCTCACCCATATCCTGCACCCAGGCCCAGAGCAATTGTTGAAAGGCATTTTGTTTTTAACTAGTGGCCTTACCCATTATCTTCACATTTTTAGAATTTATGATACAGTGTAGGAACTCTCTCTTTTCCTTTAAAAACCCACTTGTAACTGCTACTAATCAAGCATATATTCAGAGTAACTCAACCTATGTTCTGATTTGCAATCCTCAAACCTGGTCCCCCCACGATAAAAAACCTCTGTACTTAAATTATTTTGGCTCATTTTTTTTTTCTTTAGGGTGACATATCTGGCTTAAGTCCGTAGGATGTGGTGACTTCCTCCTGGACACCAGGCATTTCTCTCTCTGAAAGCAGCGCTTGGTATGAGCAGGAACCCACGGTCCCATCAGGTGTTATGGTGAGTTCTCTTCTTATTTATTTAAGGTCTACATTTTGTTTGGGCTGTTTTTCAAACCCTCTCTTTGCTTGTAGATCAAGGGCTTTGGTTTCCTGTATCTCTGGAAAGGAGGCTGAGTTAGGAGCTTTGCCTTCTCCGCCTCTGCCTAAGGGCAAGAGGTCTGGGTTATGCACTGGTCTAGCACCAGTGGTTTCACTTCTTTTGCCTAAGATTACACAGCATACATTTAAAATAGCAGCTGCTTTCTACTTCTTATAATTCAGATTTGTCTCTTCATTTCTGGCCATTCCTGTTAATTCCGAATCGAAAGATGCATGAGGGTGATTTATACTCATAAACAGCACACCTTAACCCTAAAGACATTTCTGGCCTTCGTCACTTCTGAAAGGTTCTTAAACTATGAGAAATCAAAACCTGAGCAGGTTTTTAAGGGACAACCTCCTTCAGAAATACCAGCTGGTTTTACTGGACATCCCCTTGCAAATATCTAGGAGCTTTCTACTTTTCCTGGCTGAAGTCTGATAAGAGATTTGAAAAGTATCTTAAAAGCTCCATGGTCAGAAGTCGGCTTACTTAAAAGCTGATACTCAGGCTATAATTCTTTTGGGTGTAAAAAAACATTCTGTGTTTGCCCTTTTGGATACTCTCTCTGGGATTCTTTCCCACAAACTAAAACTGCCTTTTAAATATGTTTTATCCCTGTTTGTTTCCCATCTTATTGGCATAATTTTTTGCAAAAAAACAAACAAACAAAAAAAACAAATATAAAACTCTACTGGCCTTTTAGAAAGCTTAACCTATCTCCAAACTGGCTCCTCCAAGTCTTGTTCTTCCCTCTCTTTCCATTTCTGCTCATTCCTTTTGCTACCTTTGATACCACATAGGAGACTTCGAGCAGCCCCCAGATTCCTTGAGTTGATGTGCCTCAAATTCTTTCTTGAGCCAGATCTAAGAACCATCTTTTGGGGTCTGGATCAGAATCCCTTTTAGGTAACACCATGGTATTTTCCCCTCTTTGAGGGGAACCAGGAATCAATGTAAAAGTGGGAGTCTAGGAATTGCTGGCAAGATGGCCCAATAGGAACAACTCCGGTCTGCAGCTCCCAGCCAGATTGACCCAGAAGGTGAGTGATTTCTGCATTTCCAACTGAGGTACCCGGTTCTTCTCACTGGGATTGGATAGACAGTGGGTACAGCCCAAGGAGGGCGAGCAGAAGCAGGGTGGGGCGTCTCTTCACCTGGGAAGTGCAAGGGGTTGGGAAACTCCTCCTAACCAAGGAAAGCCATCAGGGACTGTACCATGCACTCCAGCCCTGATACTGAACTCTTCCCACAGTCTTCGCAACTTACAGACCAGGAGATTCCCTCTCGTGCCTTTGCCACCAGGGCCCTGGGTTTCCAGCACAAAACTGGGTAGCTGCTGTTTGGGCAGACACCAAGCTAGCTGCAGGATTTTCTTTTTCATACCCCAGTGGCATCTGGAATGCCAGCGAGACAGAACTGTTCACTCCCCTGGAGAGGAGGCTGAAGCTAGGGAGTCAAGTGGTCTGGATTGGTGGGTCCCACCCCCACAGAACCCAGCAAGGTAAGATCCACTGGCTTGACATTTTTGCAGCCAGCACAGCAGTCTGGCTTGACCTGAGGCGCTCAAGCTTGGTGAGGGGAGGGGCATCAGCCATTGCTGAGGCTTGGGTAGGCAGTCTTACCCTTACAGTGTAAATAAAGCCGCTGGGAAGTTAGAAATGGGTGGAGCCCACCACAGCTCAGCAGGGCGGCTGTGGCCAGAGTGCTTCTCTAGATTCTCTCCAGTCTGGGCAGGGCACCTCTGAATAAAAGGTAGCAGCCCCACTCAGGGACTTAAAGATAAAATCGCTACCTCCATGGGACAGAACACCTGGGGGAAGGGGTGGCTGTGGGCACAGCTTCAGCATACTTAAATGTCCCTGCCTGGCAGCTCTGAAGAGAGCAGAGAATCTCCCAGCACAGCATTTGAGCTCTGATAAAGGACGGACTGTCTCCTCAAGTGCATCATCGGCATGTAACCTGACCAGGAGACACTTCCCAGTAGGGGCCGACAGAAACCTTATACAGGAGAGCTCTGGCTGACTTCTGGTGGGTGCCCTCTGGGACAGAATTTCCAGAGGAAGGAACAGGCAG